GATTATATTAAATAATAAGATATTTTTAATAGAGATGTATTGAATGATACTTCGATTGAAATTATTTCATAGCAATCTTCGATATAGTATATTCGAACTTTGAAATTGGCTATGTGCCATGAGAAATGTGCGCAATTACTAAAGCTTGCGTTTGCGAGATCAACACGCGTTACCGGGAAGAATAATTTTGGTAAGCTGAAGCTTTCATTAAAACACCGGACGTTACGTTAACCTATTAAAAATTAATCGAATACAATTTACATTAATTTTTCGATCGATGTATAGAATCAAAAATTGAGATAAATTGATGTATCCCATTTTGGAGGGAAAAGAAGAAGAAGAAGAAAAAAAAAAAAACGTAAAATGATAAACGAGAAAAAAACAAAGAAATAAAAAACAGAATCGTATAACCTTAAGTGTGTTTCGTTTTTAAAATTAAATTAACTCCTCGATGGAAAAATAAAACAAAACGATATGGTAAAACATGTTTATTCGGATTACATTATATCGAAACTTTGTTTCGTAGTATATATATATATATATTCAAAGTTATTTATAAACCGTGACAACGCGTTACAATTTCTCACCAAATTTTACTTTCCTCCTCGTTCAAATCGTGAACGAGCTATATAACGGGAAAGATGTTCAAAAGAAAGGAAAAAAATAAAATTCGAATGAAAGAAATATTATTATTTGATCGATAAGAAAAAAGGAAACAAAAGAAAACAAAAGATTAAAAAAACAGAACAAAAATGAATACAAAGGGGATAACTTTGAACGTAAAAAAATTTGTTTATATTTTGTTGTTCTTTTATCGTACGACTTTAAAAATATCTCAATCGGCGTTTAACAAAGAGAACAACGATAAGAATACGAAAACAAATATAAATAAAAAGAAGAATAAGAATAAAAAGAAGAAAGAAGTAATTGAATGTGTTGGAATGAATTTTTCGCCAATATGGCGGCGCTTGAATGCTGCTATCTAAAAATAACAATAACAATAACTTCGTTTTTTTGCGCGTTTAAATATTTTTTATTTACACGCGACACACACACACACACACACGCTCGTACACAGAAAAATAATACGTGACGCGAATTTTGAAAGGTTTTTCGAAAAAAAAAAGAATTAAATTGAATGGGGAAATTCGAATTAAATAGAAATTTTCTTTTATATACTCGAAACAAAATTGAACGTAATCATCGAGGAAACATTTTCTCACGATGCAATTTAACGATGACAAAATAATACAGGAAAACAAAAAAAAAAAAGAAGAAAAAAAACCAAAAGAAAGAAAAGAAAATGAACTTACGTTGTTTGCAGGTTCCATTTTGGTTGCACATCGATAACAATTGGATGGTCATATCGACGAAATAATCCGTTTCAACGTTGACCACAATAAAAATGAAAGAAAATATTTCTTCCGAAAACGAATTCGTTCTTCTTCACAATCGTATATTATTATTATTATTAATATTCCTTTTATTTTATTCGAAATATAAAAAAAAATAAACACTTGTCACACACCCCGCACACTGTTTATTTCCAAAAACGAATAAAGAGTCTAATAAAAATAATACTAATAAATCAAACAAAATATAATCCTATATTTCTTAATTTTTAATCCGACCAATCCAAATTAATATGAACAATAGAATACAGTATCCAACATTTTAAACATATTCATATAAAAGTTTCTTAATTATAATATATTTATAATGATATTACAAACACAGGGGGATAAGATAAAATATTTAAATTATTGTTTAAAACGTAATCGTTTAATTTGTGGAGAAAAAAAGAAAAAAAAGGAAAAGAAACGAAACGGTAGAAGGGGATGGCAGGGGCGGCTAGGAGGATAAAAAAAGAAAAAAAAGAAATAAAAGAAGGAACAAATTAATTGGAAAAAATGTAGTTGGATATGAACGTGCTCTATCACAACCTAACAACACTGGCATCATGAAACTGACTCTCGAGTAACGTGTTCCCGCCGGTTTATGAAGAACTCGGGTTTGGATTTGTGTGCGCATATGTGTGTGTGAGACCACTGAATGCAGTCACACGTGTTGCTGTATTTACGTATTATACGTAAGCAATTATTTTACATATATATATATGTATATATATATATATATGTGTATAATATATAACGAGTGTGTGTCACACTCGTTTAATTCCTGACGCACGTTGCCCGATGATAAAGAACCGATAAAAAGTATTGTAACTATTTATATATATATATATACGGGAAAGTATATAACTAATCTAAATCGAATGGTAATGACCCAAATAAAATTCCCATTAATTTGCGCGAAGTAATTAGAAATGAAAAGAAAAAAGAAAAAAAAAGAATTTTGAAAGGAAAACAAAATATTGCAATATTGCTAGGAGAAAATTCTTTTCCCCTCCCCCCCCCCATTCCTCCCTTTGATCATCTTTGTTTCTTTTTTGTTTTCTTTTGTATTTTCTTTTGTTTTAATAAATTGCAACGTTTCGCTGTTCTTTTATTTTAAATGGAATTTTTTATATATATATATATATATATATTTCTTTTTGTGTTTGCAATATTAAATAATTAAATAAGAAAAATAATATATATTTAATAATATGTGTGTGGTTCCGTGTATATATTATTTTAGGAATGATTTTTTTGTGGCAACATTTAAATAAATGTATATGAATAAATTTACCGCGCGATTACGTATTACACGGGTTCTAAGAAAAAAAAAAGTAGATGATTATACGAGATAGGAGGATTAATAATAGAATAAATTAAATAATCGTTCGTATATCTCGCGAGATATTGTTTATTCGAATAATCGATTAATTAAATAAGTATTATTTTGATTAAATACAAAAATTATGAAAACTATTTTAATTATGTTTTACGTATATTATATTCTGACTCTCTTTTATTTATGTAACTCGTGATTATATTATTTTATTAACAATCGATACGATATTACATAATCTTATCGATTGTCAATAAAGCTGGTTATCTATATTATCTTATTCATTGAAATATCTAGTAGAATTCTATTTTATTCTATTTCGAACAATGTATCATCGCACAACCACAGAAAAGTTTGCATAGAACCTGAACAGCAGTAAAAACTGAATTAATAATCTTAATTGCACATTAATTGCACACTTTATCAATTAATTATTTAATTAGTTATTAATAATTGAAAATATAAAAACGTTTTCTATCATTACTAAGCAAAGCAATGAAGTATTCTATTGTTTTTTGTTTTCAATAGATTGTTCACTTTTTATTTATCTATTTTTCTCCGTTTTTTCTAGCTCCAATATGATATCGGTTTATTTTTTAATTTAGTAAGTTATTTTCTTGTACCTGTTCAAAGACAATCGTTCTTAACGAGTAAGCTCCTTTAATTAATAATTAAAACAAAACATCGATAATAGATTTCTAATTGTTGTTTGTTTATAAATGTATATAAAATTAAATTAAACATTCACTTTGTGTAAATTACTTGTTATTAAAAGTTACTAGGAAATAAGAAAGTTTAAAATATATTTAAATTCTAGTAACATGGCTAAGCCGATATCGATAATAGTAGTGATCTACCTTTATCTTACCGACCGTCGGTAGAGGTAGATTTCTACTTTTAAAAATATCGACAGTCGGTAATACGACTTACCGACAGAGAAAATCTGATGGAAACTTACCTTAAGAGATAATGTCGCGACTTACCGACAGTGTGTAATGACCGGTCGGTAAGTTACCATCGCATTTCTCTTATTATTTTATCTACCATCCTTACTTAATTCCTGTACTTCTATTGGATCTTACTGGCGTAAATGCCAACCAATGGGAAACGTAGATAGTGACGACACTTACTTTACTCCTGTTACCTCTTGTATCATCATGCGCTCCTGTTACATTTCTCTCATTTTTGCGACGGGAGAAAACCATCTTGAACACCGAAATATCTAGATTTCTATTCGAAATTAGAAAAATCGACAAAATTTTAAATCGATGATGGCGTCTAATTGCCTTTTATGGTATATATAGATATAGTAAATGTATTATTAGTATATTATTTAATAAATTTCCAAACCGTTAGATATTTCTTATTAAATTAATGTAATTGTGAGTGAATTTGAAAACAAAAAATATATAAAATATATATATTCTATTAATTTATCAACGTTGACTTTTTTTTTATAAAAAGAATAATATTAAAAATAAATTATTAAGTGAATATTTCGAGTACATCTAATTTGGCAAATGATATTAGTTATTTAAATTATATACGATAGAATATATTCTGTGTAATGAATTGAATGTTTTGAATTGAGCGCCATATTACCATCTATGGAAAATAATTACGATTATCGATATAGTTTATTTCGAAAGATATTTTAAATACACATATACAACTTCATATAATATAATTAAAATTCTCCGTAATAATAATAATAATAATAATATTTTAGCCGTTCGAATGAGTTAAAAAATAAAAAAATAGAAAAAAAATGCCTGGACGTCAGAAAACGGGAAAAAAATATGGTAAAATGGGAAAAGGTCGATCATCCTCACCGACAACAAGAGCACCACCACCACCACCTCGTCAACAAGGGTGAGTAATTATTCTACGTCAAAAGACTTACTAAAATTAATTAATGATATGATACTATTAAAAGCATATTTTACGCGATATCGTGCAACTAATGTAGAAACTATTGCAACATTTGCGCATAGACGAAATTCGAAGAGAAAAAAAAATGACGGTGATTGAAATGACCGATCGTGCAATTAAAAAAAAAAAAGAAAATTATATGGGTAAATTTTTGTTTGAATTTTATCGATTTAAAAATTGTATCGATTAATTAATTTGATCGACGACCAAGATGTAAAATCAAAATTGCCGCCATTTTGCGCGACAGTCATTTATAGTTTTCGATTTATTTCGCGTGGCATCTGGAATTCTCAGGAAATATCTACTGCGCATGTGCACGCGCATTGTCCGTTAATATTGGTAATTGCGTAACACCATTTCCAAGGGAATAAAATCCATCGTTGTAAAATTGGGTTGGTATTAGCAAGTGAATCGTTATCAAGAGAAGACGTAGTTTAATCTTGTGCTTACGAGAAGTATAAAACCTAAAGGAAAATCCAAAATGCCACGACGTGGACGAGCATCGGGTCCTCCACCGAGGACGTAAGTTTTTATTCCTATTTATTTTTCCTTTTTCCTCTATATTTTCTATACCAAAAATTTCATACTCATCCATCCGTTTATATAATATTAACAAGCAAATTCGATTTTATATTTAATATTGCATCACATGATCACAAGGTTTCCTTGTGACGTAGGATAATTGCATTATGATATTAAAAAAACAAACAAACAAACGAAGGAATACGTTTATTCATTTAAAAATGTTTTTTTTCTAAATGTTCATCATTTTTAAATTATTTTTTTTGCATTTTATTATAGTGTAAGGCCATCATCGCCATCAAGATTCTCAGCACCGCCAACAAAAGCTGCAGCACCCCCAGCACATGCACCAGCCTCAACACCAATGGTTGCTCAACCAGCAGCCCAACAGCCATCTCTTATGGGACAAATGGCTGCGACTGCTGGTGGAGTAGCCATTGGCTCCGCTGTTGGACACACCATCGGTCATGCAGTCACTGGAATGTTCAGCGGTGGCTCTAGTGAATCAGCAGTTGCACCAGCTGCAGCTCCTGTTCAAGCTCAGAGCTCACCAATGCCTTCACCAGCAGGCGGTGCTTGTTCCTGGGAAGTTAAACAATTCTTAGAATGCGCTTCAAATCAATCTGATCTTTCTCTTTGCGAGGGCTTCAATGAAGCTCTTCGTCAATGCAAATCAGCTAACAGTAAGTACATTTAAATATAATTTTTATATCATTATCAAAGATTGAGTTTAAATGAATTTGGGATTTTTAATACATGTTTTTCTTATTTTTCAGATATGATCTAATCTGGATCTAAATTATATATCGGCAGTATGAATATAATAATAATTATTTAGAAATATTATTTAGAAGAAATTTTTTCATATTCTGTTTTATCGATCATTGGAAATATAATTCAATATTATATAAAATATTTGTGTAATTTGCCTATACGTTTTATCTGTTATTTATGGAATAAAACAAAATTAGTGTTACATAGTATATTTATAGTCACAAATTAGAAACGAATTATAAAGAAATAAAATAAGTTCTGTCATAATATGTTTTTTTTTTAAATGTCTTTTACGATATATAACTTTTAAGTTTCCATGTACATGTATGACTATTGTCAATAAATAAAACATCCTAATAGAGCCGATGCAATGTACTTTTTTTCAAAAACCCTTAACATATAGACAATAATAAAAAGAAATAAATTGTTGCAGACCGGATATTATAATTGTACAACGGCAAAATCCTGGAATGTTTGGAAATATAGCTGGGACAGCTGCAGGCGTAGCTGCGGTGTGTGATTGATTGTCAATAAATTTAAATGATATTTAATTAAACAACACAAATATCGCATTGTTATAGATATTATTTTCTTCTATCAGGGTACGGTCATTGGTGATAAAATTTCTGGTCGTAATGAACCTACCTCATCTCATGATGTTGCAGTAAATAATTCCGTTAATCCCTGTAGATACGAAGAAGAACAAATTTTAAATTGCATAAAGGATCAAACGGATTTGCAAGCTTGTGAATTGATTAAAAAAACGTTCATGGATTGTAAACATAAATACAGTATGTGATTTTAGTAGACATACATTTCTTCATTTTAAAATCCCTTGTATTATAAAACATGAGACTCATGGATACGCTTAACATTTCAAACACGATTCCTACTCATGCTGAATTTAATCGGACAAACATAAGAAACAAGAAATGTAGCAGCAATTTTGGCACATAAATATCATCACCAGTAGACATTAAAATATATAATGCAAGGAATTAAATAGATTATTATTACTATATTATTAATATAACAAATGCCTCTTTATAAAATAATCCATTTCTTTATACAGATATTAAATGAAGACAAATGGTCGTTGCATATATGAAGACAAGAGAAAAATAATTCTACGATTGTATTCTATATATAAATAAAAACAAACAAATAATAATTACTTTTATTATATGTTTTTTGTTCTTTTTTTTTTTTTTTGTTTAAACTAATTTCTACTTTCTCTTTATATATACCATAGTTTAAAAAATTAAATATTTTTTTTTTTTTTTCATTAAATATTACCTTACATTGATAATTGATAGAAGGCAGTTTATATTATTTTTCAGGTATAGCTACAGCTATGCAAAATTGTAAAAAAAATATTCTAAAGACTAATAATCCGACTGCTAATTTTCAAAATATAGCTAGTACTGCTACGGGAGTAGCTCTGATGGTGGTTCCAATAGTAATAAGTAAATTTATTTCACAAAAATGATGTATTCTACAATATTATTGATGAATTTCTTATTTGCTTTTTTTTTTTCTTCTTCTTTTTCTTTTTGTTGTTGTCAATGACGCAGAAACATGTTATCGAAAATGCATTGTTCAAATGTGTGAATTATGAATTCAGCTGAAGCATTATCTTCAAATTATTCCATTGTAATTGAAGATAAATACTCTCGCTAGAAATTCTATAATTTTTGGAGTGCGTTTCAAAGAACAAAGATCTTGATATTTGTAAAAGCTTTCCATAATACTTGGTTCGAGTGTCAAAAAAGATACAGTCAACATCGCTCGCAAGCTTAATGTTATAAATGTTTTTGTTCCGTTTTGTTTTTTTCTTTTTCTTTTTTTTTTTGTTTCTTTTTTTAAGGAAAAGATATTTCTATAACTTACTAAGAGAAGAAGAAACAGAATCGATAATAATTCAGATCTGCTATTTAAAGTTAATCAATGGAGATTGTTAATCTAACGAATAAATAAACAGATTACAATCTTCTGAATAAGATTAAATAAAGCTATTGTATACAAGTAATATATAATGTGTGTTGCAGCGCGATAATAGTCATTGTAATAGTAATAGAATTAGTAATAGTAGTAGTAACCTCTTAATTACACCAATAATAAATGATTTATGAACATATTTTATTAACTTAATGCGTTCTCTGAGATGGGTTTTCTTTTGAACAAAGGGGGCAGTTAAATGTGCGAAATAAAACATATGGTAGACTATCTTTTTTCTGTCTTTAAGACACGCATCACCATAAACCCAGCAACCGTGGCTGCCGCAATTCCCAAACCGGCTTTCCACCAAACTACAGAGTCCTGTTGTATCAGCCCAAATTGGTTTAAATGTCTGCAACGTAGAATATTATAAATTCATAAGATAATTAACAAAGAATACAAATATTAATATTTTACGATTAGTATAAAACAACCCTCACCACATTCCGATATTTGAAAAGTTTCATAAATATGTGACATTTAATTAAATGAACAAATTTTCTTGCACGTACAATCTATTACACTCATGATTTCACTTATCCATCAAATATAAAGAAACATAGATACAAATATATTGATTTAATAAATGTATGATTATTTTAATTATCATGTGATAAGAAAAATATGAATTTTTTATTTAAAGTACGTCAATAAAATAATTAATAAAACTTAATAAGACACTGATGATATCGGAATGATTACACTTATGGCTGAAATATATTAAGATTGATATGAATAAATAATTAATTATAAGCACGATATTAATTAATAATATGTTACATTTACTTTATTTTTTTTATATTATTTTTTTTTTTTTTAGTTAGATTAGGCATATAAATTATTATTACTCTCTGCCTGATGGAGAATATAGCAAAAAAAAAAAAGAAACAAATTTGTATATGAGATATTGATGAACAATTTCAATGATATATTAGTCATACGAAAATATATGACATGCTTCATGCTAAAAAAAAAAAAGAAGAAAGAAAAAAATTAATAAATTGATTAAAAAATTGAGATAACATGCTATGTGTCGGAAACTATAATACAAAAGAAACCTTGTAAAAGAATTCCACCATTGAGTGGGTGAGGGTTTGACAAACAACATGTGGACCATATGCCTTAAAGGGCTGAAAAGAGTATGTGGAGTCATTGTTATGAGAATTTTAATTCGTGCTAATGCAAAACTAGTGTTTGAGCAAATCGACTCCAACACGCAATCAATATAGACCGATAAACCGATAAATTTGTATTATAACAATAATAATAATAACAATAATAACAATAATAATAATAATAATACGTGCAACGAAAAAGAAAATACATATATTTATATATATAAAGCGTTATAAATCTAGCCAATGTAAAATCTAATATGATTCACGATTTGCTCATAAGCTTGTAAGTTTATGTGTATAGAGAAAATCCAGACCAACCTGTGTCTATAAAATAATACCCACGCTGGTTGAAAGCGGCTAAACACGAAATTTCTTCTTGTTAGTTTCTAACATTCATTTTAATTCATTCGCATTTATATATGAATTTATATACTTTAATTCTTTTTTGATTTTCTTTTTTTCTTTTTTGTAAAGACAAATTCCAATTACGCTTATTAAAAAAAGGAATAAATAAATTTAGTAGATCGAATTGATAATATAAAACGTTATTTCATCGAAAAAATAATATAATTATGCACTTTGTTTCTTTTTTTATATTGCTTTAATCATTTTTTCTTGTTCTTTTTTTTCTTTATTTTTAAATATTGAATATATTGAATATGTATATTTAAATTCCTGTTATATTTATATACGGAATGTTTATTAAACTTACGGAAATGCTGCCATTGTAGCCAATTTGACGAATATTTCTCTACGTACAGCCCTAGAAACACTATAAGGTTGTGGCGGCATCAACTTGTATTTACTACAAAAACTTGCCGGTTGTAGTAAATATTCTTGCTTAACTTCGGCAAGATCACTTTTATTAGCTATTATTAATACCGGTATTTTACTATCTGCGAAATATTTCTATAAAACAATATTAACAATCGTTATTATTATTATTATTAATATTAATATATAATAATATAAAGTAAAAAACATTTGTCAGAATCTAAAAAATATTTGTACAATACTTACGATATAAATTCGTGCAATATATTCAAATGATTTAGGATTAGCTGTATCGTAAACAAGAGCTGCTGCATCGCATTGTATTTGTGTAGGTGTTAGAGCATCCTGAACATTCATTATATTAATATCCTTTAAAATTATTGTCTTTTCTTGACCATATACGTGAACCGTATTGACAGTAACATGCGTTGTTAAAGGTATTACTTCATCCGTTAATTTCTAGAAAAAAAATATAATACTTGAATATATGGGACAAGACATTAAAAGTGTATTACAAAAGAAAAAATATAAAATACCTCCAATTTAGGGTCGACAAAACTTCTGCAAAGAGTTGTCTTACCACTATTCTTTTGTCCAATAACGTGACACGTGTAAACGTTTCGACTTGATTGTTTCTTAGCTAGATCTAATTTTTTCTCACGAGTGACTACTACAGCACTTGTTTGACATTCGTTATTATACATATTATATCCAAGATATGCCATATATTCTAATGTTTTTTTAACATTCGTAATGGTCAATAATGCCCATTGACACATATAGCCTTGAAAAGTAATCCAACCTTTCTCGTTGGTTGGCACTGTATGCTTATATTCGTCACCCCATGGCGGACTCCAACACCTTGAAAATAATGAATCTACTTCTGGCGGGGATAAAGCTCCATCACGATCTCTATCATGTTGCATAAATAATAACGTTAAGAATTCTTGTCCCTTGTGTGATAACTCAGTTGTACAACCGGAAGGAACTTTTAATCTGCGTATAAATACATCGAAGTATTTCAAAAAACGAATGATCAAAAATATTTTGTGTAAATAATATCTATAAATATTTTTCTGCTTACTGAGGATGTATGTATTCCTTAGACATTTGTAATTCGTTATCATAGCCAAATTTCCTTAATACGGCCCATGTCGTTTCGTTTCTACCACGTTGAATAAATAAGCACTGGAGATACATAAAACCTAATCAAAGGTAGAATTTGTTAATTTATAAATTTTTCACAAGTTATTAAATGTATATACTTTGTGTATAAAGTATACCTTTCATAGTCACACAACCATTACAAATTCCATCATGAATATTTTTTGATAATACTGCTTTAACATCTTCTAAAACTTGTGGTTGTAGAGGCGTATTAAAGCACCATTGTTGAAATGCATTTAATTCCATGTCATTTAACAGGCCATCATTGTCTAAATCGCATATCTGTTATTGAAAATAAAAGTAATTTTTGATTAGACTTTAATTAACAAAAATATAACGTGTTAAAATAATCAACTTACCTTAAAAATTCTTTGGAGAGCAGTTTTACATTCTTCCGTAAGCTAAAAAAGTATGTAGATCATAAAGATGTTTTATATACTTTATGCATTTAATAATTAACAAAAGAAAGAAAAATTGATACCTCTTGTATATCGTAATTATAAAGAGGAGTAGTTGGATGCAATACAGCTTTTTGTGCATAATAAAACGTTTCTGATACATTTTGTAATGTTTTAGCCGAACACTGAAATAATTAATACATTTATGTGTACATTTATACTAAATAGTCGAAATATTCGAACAATAAGTAAATTATTTTACCTCTATACAACTTTCTATTTCTGAAAATTCTTTCATTATTGGATATACAGCCTGCAAAAAGAATAAAATAATTTTGAATAGATTTAAAACCAAATACAATTAAGCCTTTGCACTAAACAACAATTTGTGAGGCTCGTGAATATGACACACTAAGTTAATACATTAAATTATAGTAGTGCAAAGGATTAATAAACATTTAAACATATAACATACTTCTATAGTAGAATAATCAACCAAATCAATTTTGTTTCCAACAAGAACAACTGGACATCGGTTGCTAGTAGAACATCGTCTGATGAGAGGCAACCAATACGTAGCAGCTTTGTCAAGAGTATCTTCATCTTCGACAGAATAAACAACGCATATTACATGAGCTTTTTGTATTTCTTCCGCTAACTGATCATCCGTTTGTTCTGCAGCTGAACATCAATAAAAGTAAATGAATGAACTGTGATAAATAAAAGAAAGTAAAACTACCAATTCAATGCGAACTATTTATCTACCTGAATAATCAACGATATGAGTTGGTACTTGTTCAGGAGTGACATCGGCAGGKATGGTGATTTCTTCTGCCTTGCTAGGTACATCCTCAGCATATTCTTCGCTGACAAGAGACAATATCAAAGATGTCTTACCAACCCCACGTTCACCGATCAACAAAATTCTAACGTTACGTTTAGGTATCACTACACGATGCACCATCTTTGCTAATAATAATAAATTAATCCTCTTCCCTTTAAACCCCTAAATATTATTGGTTAACATTTTCTTATTGCTATTCATCCTTCTTTAAACTCACATAACCTATAAACCAGTCTTTCATTCAATCGTTTGTCTATACGTTAAACGTTCACCTTCTTATAGGATTGATTCTAAATATATATATATATGTATATATATATACGTATCTATATATACAATAAAGTTCAATATAACATTTTTCCTCTTTCTTTTCTTTTTTGAATTAATAATTAATCTCCATTTTCCGGAAAACCTCTGGCACTTAAAAATCGTCTTCTACGGTTGTAACTTCTTACAGACGTACACACACACACACACACACACACACACAAGAAAGCAAGTAAGCAAGCAAGGAAGGCACGCACGCATGCACGCACGCACGCATGCACAGGGGAACGCAAACCTCAGAGGGGGAAAAAAAACGTCAGTTTCACCCGCGGCGACTGAACTTGCGCTTCGAGGGTGGCCGTTTCAAGGTTACGTTCTCTCTCGCACAATTAGAGAATGATGATATGTATATATACATATATAATATAACGCACGTGCTCGTGACAAAGTCATCATGTTCCTAGTAGCATTCAACCTAGACCGGTGTATTCCTTCGATTTCATAATTGATGCAATGAAAGTAAATAAATTAAATTAAATATTCCTTTACGACGAGAAAGATGACGAAGATTTCACAAACCTAGTACCACAAACGTTTATTCTTAGAATTTATCGGTTGATTCATCTCATGAGCTTACTAATCCACTTCTAAATCTAAAATAATAATTTATTTATATTAGAAAGCTTGTGTGTGTTTTTTTTTTTTTTTTTAATTTTGATTATACGAATTTATTTTTTTAATAATCGAATGATCATTATTATAAACATTTCGACTTTTTAGGTTATAATTATTAATTTAATTTACATATTTTTTTTTTTTTTATTTAAATAACATGACGAAGCAAATAAAGAAAGTATAAATAATGATGGAAATGCTATTTCTGTTGGTTTGAAAGAATCATTGAATACTTACGTATGTAAAGTGTGTGTATATATTACGTAATAAGTGAAGAGTAAATCCATACATATCGATACGTTTTTTCTTCTGATTATTATATTTCTTAATGATTTTAACATGTTATATAGGTATTAGATTTCTTCGGTATTTATAATTAGATAATCGATACGATAATTTCAAAATTTTTTCTATTGTTTTCAAAAAATATTCCCACTATATTCTTTTTATAAGAATGTCGACAATTTACCTTCCGAGAAAACGATCTATTATTATACTAGTGTCGATAATTTATCTTCTGAATCATCGGTCGATAATTTATCTTCTGAAACATCGGCCGATAATTTATCTTCTGAAACATCGGTCGATAATTTATCTTCTGAAACATCGGTCGATAACTTATCTTCTGAAACATTGATCGATAATTGAATAATTTTAATTTATAGTATACTATTTAAGCAATACATGTATGCGTACAATTCACACGCGATAGAAGTAAAACCTTTAGAAAACTAAACTTTCAGAGAATGAAAGGAATGTTTACATTTTATACTACATATACTACATTACATATACAGACTCAATTGTTAAATTACAAAAAATTATATTATGAAGAAAAGAATGAAACTTTCAGTTTTTCTTGATGAAACGTAAAAGAACTACAGAAAAGGTATTTCCATATTTCTAGGGAATATAGTAATAAGGAAGGTATTATACAAAAAGAAAAATACCTACATTACTTCTGTATGTTTTGTTACTAGAAACTTTGACCATAGGGATTTTTTTATCGTAACTGTATTTACTTTAGATATTATTGGTGGAACATAGTGTCAAAATGACTCACTACTTCCGTTTCCCATTCCCCTTCCACATTTGAGCGTACAATTTAAAGGGGATAAACGGAATAAATCGTTCATTTCGAATTCTCTCCTCAATTATTAAGGGTCTCTACTAGTAGAATAAATTTCCCTTCTCTCTTCGAATTTTGTTAAACAATTAATCAGGTATAACTTATATTTATATTTATTTAATGTTATTATTAATTAACTTATTTTCAAGTTTGTAAATTATTGTACTATTAAGGTATAAAATTTGATTTTCAGATTATTGTAACTAAATTTAATCTTGTTTACTTTCAAGCACGTTTAACAAGGACAAAGTTTCTTATTACATCTACATTAGATATAATACATAATTTACAATGGCAGAGTCACGGTAAGTGCATTTTTTTATATTAATACATATTAATATATGTATTGTTTAATTTTGAAAAAAAAAAAAAAATTAGAAAAGAAAAATCAAATTTATAAAACACGTGGTTTTCATTACTTATAAATAAAATATTACAAAATATTACGATACCTCTCTCCTTTTATATATATTTTCAAAAATGGATTTACATTACTTTCATAATTAACACCATATATATTTATTTATTTATTTAATTTAATAAAATTATCATATATGTTTATTGAAAATTTAATTGAGAGTAGGAAGATGAAATGATAAAAATGCGTTTAATATAATATTTTCTAATATATTTTTTCATTTGTATTTTAAAAGAAGAAACGATGGGTGGAATAGAAAATCTGGATCAGAATCAAGATCAAAGAATAATAATGTTTGGCAAACCAAAGCTAGATCAAAGACTACATCGAATAATAAAAAATATAACGAAAATTCAAGAAATAATTCTCCAGATATGATTATAGAAGTAGCTTCTAATAAAGTAGGAAAACTTATAGGAAGCGAAGGTAAAACAATAAAAAACTTTCAACAGAAAAGCAACACCAAAATTTGTGTAAGTATATATATATAATCAGGTTTTTATTGCACAACTTACAAAGTTTTTTGCAATGTCTTATCATTATATCACATATAATTATCTCACATTTTTGGCTTGCTCTTATCACACCTCTCGTC